GCCGATGATGCGTCTGGCGAAGTGCCGATCGATAGGCTGCCCAGCTTTGAAATGATTCCTCAGGGAAGAGATCCTTCCTACTCCATCTCCAATAGCTTCTCGGTTGAATCTCCTTTGTGTATTCTTTTTCCATTCTCTGATGCTACACTTTAGTTTGGGCGGAACATTATATAAAAAGAGGACGAGATGACCAACTCCCCTTTTAAATATTACTGATTTCCTAACTTTCTCCCTAAAGTATCAAGTTATTTGCCTTGAGAAATGAAAGAACAAGAACACCGTCACGTTTTTAATCTGATAATTTTTTGACCATGAACTCACAAAATGACCCACATTTGAGCCCATACACATAGTGTAAGGGAAATAATGGGTAATTGGTACGTTTGGGCGTTCAGTTGGGGGTTAAGTACTTCAAGGGGGACAATTGGTCATTTTGTCTATAAACAAAGAAGATAATCTCTCTGAGAAATCAAAGAATTAAATCTGTGGTTACTATCTAAGTTCATAAAAGTAGGGAGTCCAATAATGATTTTGGAAGTTTGTTAGAGATAGCAGAAGTGCCAAATTACATTGATTGGATTTTGTTTGACAAAACTAGAGTTAAATAGAACCCAGCTGCCTATGCTTTCTAAATGATTGGGAAAGATTTGTTACGACACGACTTCTGAAGGATTCGTTTCTTGCAAGTTCATAGATTTTTCTTGTTTACTGGAGGCTTGCCGAAAATTTTTACCATAGAAGTCAGTAACGTGGTATATATGCTACATTGAACCATGATCTGGGTTTAATTGTCCCAGATTCACGTAGAACACAACCATATTCACGTACTACAGCTACCCGATTTGGATTCAAACTAGTTAATATTTTGAAAAATAAAAAAAAACTCTTAAAAGAATAAACAACAAAAGAAAAACATGAGCAATTAAGTAAATAAAGTATGCGTATCTTAATGACAACGTGATTCTTTTATTTTACCATCACTAATATTAGTTAGCATTTAAGAACCTAACCTAAAGCATACCACGTTCCCTGATGTACCATATAAGCCTACCCTACTCGTACCTGATTCCTAATGAATTTGGGGTTCGATTTAGGAGGGTTGCTAGGTACGAAGTCCATGACCTCGCTACTGCAGCTGTACCAATAATGCTTTCAAGAATCAAGTTTGCCGCCGCTATGAATGCTGCAAAGTCGCCCAGCTCCACGCGCAAATAAGCGAAGGAGCCACCTGCAACTGGTATTTCAACAGCAAACTCAGTGTAACAAAAGACAGAAAGCATGGCAGAGATGCCAGAGGCAACATAAGAGAGAACAATGGCAGGTCCTGCGTGATCATGGGCTTCTTGACCGGTGAGGACGAAGATGCCTGCACCAATGACAGAGCCGAAGCCAAACCAGGTGAGATCCCACCAGTTGAGGCATCGCTTCATCTCATGCTCGCTCTGCCTACGGACATTGCCGAGTTCGGTGGCATCATCAGACCGGCCTAGTAGCCTGTCCGCGAGC